AGTTTTATAATTCCTTGGGCATAATTTCAGATTATTTTCCAAAATGGTTGGATCAGTTCACAGTTCCACCAATAGTGTATTCATATCCCCTCCAACACTTGTTCATTTCCCCCTTCTATCATTTTAGCAAATTTGATAAATACAAGATGATATCTCAAAGTTGTTTTAATTTGCATTTCTCTAATCAATAATGATTTAGAGTATTTTTATATGATCTTATATAGTTTTGATTTCTTTACCAAAAAACTGCCTGTTCATATTCTTTAACCATTTATCATTTGGGGAATGACACACGTTGTTCTGAAGGTTCTTTTGCTAATGTTGTTTTTGTAAGAGCTAATACAAAGAGCTAATTATTAATATTATACTGCTGATTCATATTGAGCTTGCTGTCCACTAAGACCCATAGATCTTTCTTGACTTTGGTCTTCAATATTGATTAATTCACCCTGAAACCTGATTCTTTGAGAGTTGCTACACAATTTTTTGTGTTCCTTTCCAATAACTAGGTGGCCTAAAGCATTATCATTAGCTCTGTGCAAATGGTTTGTTCCTTTTTATTTTGGAAGGGGCAAAGATCTTTAGAGCTGGAAAAGGCATAATGATGATCTAATGTAGCACTTTATACTAGAGAGGAGGAAAATGAGACGAAGAGAGGTGAAATGAATTGTGCTATCATAGGATCCAGAGCTGAAAAGGAATCTTAGAGACTATTCAGGAGAACTTCTTCATTGCATAGATAAGGAAACTGGAGACTGAAGATGGTAAGTGAGCTTACTCAAGGTCACACATGTAGTTATTAGCAGAACTTGGATTCAGACTCAGGTCATTGGATTCCGAAACTCATGTTCTTTCTGTTTATCTAAAGCCATGGTACTAGGAAACGTAGTTGAAGACAGCTATGTGACACAACGGATAGAGCCCTGGTCCTAGAGTCAGGAATATTTGAGTTCAAATCCAACTTCAAACATTTACTAGATGTATGACCCTAGGCAAGTCACTTAAATCTCTATCTGCCTCACTTTCCTCAACTGTAAAGTGGGGGAAATAATGCTACCTATCCCTCAGGAGTATTGTGAAGGTCAAATAAGCTAACAAAAAAAAATTTAATAGTGTTAGCACAGTGCCTGGCACATAGTAAGTGCTTAATAAATGCTTATTTCCTTCCTTCCTAAAAACCCAGGCTTTCAGACTCCTAGTCCAGGGATTTAGAAATAATCTAGTCTAACTCCCTCAAGAAACTGAATGATTTGCCTAAACTCAGACAGTCTATCTTACTCTAATTTTCTCTTCTTTGATTGGTCAAAAATATTCCCCAAAGAACAATTTCCAATCTCTTTTATAACAACACATCATATACTTGAAAGCAATATCACCACTTAGCTGTCTCTTAGAACAGGAAATGGACATGAAATTTCACTGTTACAGGAAACTCTAGGATGAGGAAGTTCCCTGTACCTGCACCCTAGAGATTGAGATTTTCCAAGGGCATTGAGAGGCTGTGATTTACCTAGAGTCACAAAGCCAGTATATGTCATAGACAAGATTTGAACCCAGGCTTTCTTGGCTTTAAGGACAGCATTGCCCACTATGTAACACCACCTCTCAGCTATCTCTCATCTATACTAAATGACCTGGGGTGATCTTTCTTTATTTCAGCCACTCCCAATGTTACTATTTTTAACAACCTCTTCAAATTTCTGTGATGAAAACCAGCTAGAGCCAGGGGTATGCAGGAGTCAGCTAAAATCAGCTCTAAAAAGCTGATTATTAAATTTTCAGTATAAACATTTACACCTCAAAAATTGGAAATACTACAAATCAGGGCTTGATTTATTGTTTTATTGATTGTATAGACCTATGAAAGTTATGAAGAAAATGTTAATAATGCAGTTTAAACATAAAAGTATGTTGTGAATTTTTTTTGGAGAGTCAGTTGTTAAAATATTTTTCAGCACACCAGTGGCTGTAGCACTGTAATAAAAGTCTACTATTACACAACATGTTGAAAAGATGATTTCATTGACTATATATGTGTATACACATGCACGCGCACACGCACACACACACATACACAGAAAGACACCAGTCCCTATAATAATTCTCAGTTATCGTATTAGCTTTCTCTTTTTATTAACAATACTACCTTGCTACCTCATATTCAGCTTATGATCTGCAAGTCTTTTTCTCTTATATTTTCCCATAGTCTTCCCCAAGATCCTCTGGATTTTTGAAATGTTTGGTTGTTAATTTTATCCTTATGTCCTATTTTATGCTTGCTTCTAGTAAATACCATTCTTGTTTTGGGGACATTTACCATATTTTTCTGGGTTATTTGGAAGTTTATTTTTTCTCTTCTACAATATTAGCAACTCCACACTATTTGGAATCATCTACAATTTAGACCTAGGGCAGTTAGACGGCTCAGTGGATAGAGTGCCAAGCCTGGCACTTCCTGTGTTCAAATCTGACCTCAGGCACTTACTAGCTGTGTGACCCTGGGTAAATCATTTAATCTTGTTTCCTTCAGTTTCCTCATCCATAAAATGAGCTGGGGAAACAAATGGCAAACCACTCTAGTATCTTTGCTCAGAAAACCCCATATGGGGTCATGAAGAGTCAAACATGACTGAAAATGACCAACACCTGAAAAAAACCAACAACAACAAAATAATTTTGACCTGCCTAGGTCCTTTCAAACAGATCTTCAATAATGGCATTTGTTAGAATGGACTTTTAAAGAAAGAAAGGGCAGGAATATGAGCAAATAGTGAAAGAAATTCAACCCATGGAGTTAAAAACATGATTCAAGTATGTCCAAAAGGGACTGGAAGTCATCTGGCTGGATTGAACATCTTGGCTGAGAAGATGGAGCTGGGTTTCCACTTATTATAAACCTTTTTCTCTAGACTGGAGTTCGATGTATGGGTATCAAATGGCATCAAACTAAGAGGGAAGTGATTCATCCTTGATCCTGGCCAGACCCTTTTCAAAATTCTGGTATTCCAAGGAGCTAAGTCCTTTGAGGTACCTGTATGTGGGCCTGAGAAAAATGTCTCCCCTCCAATATAGCTCAAGCAGGGCTTCTGTTATAGAGGCTTCAGAAGACAGCTGGTTCTCTACTTAACTCATTGTCACAAGATGGGGCTGTTGCATCTGCAAACCTGAATCCCTTCTGTTGAGATAAAAGATGGTTTGAGCCTGGGGGTTGTGGCAGGGAAGGAAGATGATTTTATACTCATCTCCCCTCTTTACTCTTGACACTTTGACTTGTATTCAGCTCCAGAGGATAAAGGGAAAGCTATGTGGCTCAGTAGAGAGAGTTCTGGGGTGGCAGCCAGGAAAACTCATCTTCATGAGTTCAAATCTGGCCTCAGACACAGTAGCTGTGTGATGCTGGCCCAGTCATTTACCCCTGTTTACCTCAGTTTCCTCATCTGTAAAAATGAACTGAAGAAGGAAATGGAAAACCTCTTGGTATCTTTGCCAAGAAAACCCCAAATGGAGTCTCAAAGAGTCAGACATGACTGAGCAAACAACAGCCAGAAACTATATATGGCCTCCTGAAGATGAAGGCCTTTGGGGGCCTCTTTTCACAGTATGAAGGTCTGTTAACCTCTCCACACACATACGGAAGAGGCAGAGAAACAGGCTGTTCAGCTTTCTTTCCCAAAGTCAAATTTTACTGCCATTTGAGATAACTTGGAGTAAGGATTGACTCAAGTTCAAATCCTGTCTCAGATGCTTATGAGCTATGTGTTTTTTTTCAAGTAATTTCTACTCCTCTCAGCCTCAGTTTCCCCATTGACAAAATGGGAATAATAATAGCAACACCCTCACAAGGTTGTTATAAGGATTGAATGAAATAATGTAAATAAAGGCCCTTTGCAAAATTTCAAGCAATGTATAAATTATAGTTATTATTATATGGTGTGCAATCCCCAGAACAGGCACGACTTCCTACATAAAGGCAGAGTGGTATGGAATGCCATTAATTATTTTAAGGAGGAGGGGAGTGAGTGGAAAGGAAATATCTGAGAAGTGTTAGCTCTTCAGAAGGAACCAACATCTAGTTTCTAGAAATAACCCTTCTCCCAGCCATGTCAGCACTTTCTTTCTCTTCTTAGGTGAATATTCTCCCCTTATAAACTCCCAAGAAGTAGCCTTTGGCTTCTGTACCAAATAAGCAATTCATTCACTCAACTATATCTTATCCTTTCACTATCTGTCTCATGACTCTTATTCTTTTCGCAACTCTGTGTCTTACCAATAGCCAACACACATCCTGGGACAGAGTTATGGATCGGTGAGAATCAAATAGAATGCTTTTTTTTTTTAATGGAAAGAGGCATCAGTGTAGTGTAATATGACCTTCGGCAAGTCCGTGGATCTCAGTTTCCTCTCTGTAAATTCAAGGGGTTAGACTAGATGATTGCTGAGGACCCTTCTGGCTTTAAACCTGTGGTGTCATGAATAAAGATATAAAATAAAATTTAATGGAAGAAATAAGAATACTTCATAATCATTTCTTGCCTTCTAGGAGAAAGTGTCACCTTGAAGTGAAATTATTCACTTTCTAGAAATGCAGAGAATATACTGAAGCCTCCATAGAACCATATGCTATACTTTGATAGTTAAAAATGGATGAAGTTTCTAATTAGTCCAAATATATCTCATCCTCTCATTCATTCCTTTGTGCTCTCTCTATTCCCCTCTTTCCTCCCTCCTTTAAATTTACTACAAAGAAGTTCTACTCCAAAAAAAAAAAGAAAAAGAAAATGAAAAAGACCCCTTTCCCTTTTCTAAATTCTATCAAATAAATTATCCAGACCAGACAAGGAGAGGCACTGAGCAATGTCTGAGTCAGACAAAGGGATAGGGCTGAATCTGTGGCTAGGGTAAAAGCCCAAGCTATCTGGCAGGTGTTCTCAAAGAAAGATGAAAGAAAATTGAAAGATAAAGTTTCTGACAATTCTGAGAGCTGAGGTGTAGGGGGCAGAGCTTCCAGACATAGAACTGAGAAGCCAGAGTCTCTCAGCTGCTGATTCGGGGTGTGTCTGATTGAGCCCACTGGCTCCCGAAAAGAAGACACGTTTGTGTCCGAGTGTCCTTAGCAGCTGGGAAAGAATCATGAAGAGGAAGTTGGGAACTTCCCTGATGATCCTATGGATACAGTGTTTCTGTGAGTTGAGAATGTTTATAGAAGGGGAAGTGGTGGGGGATTTTACAGCTGAATTTGACTGCAGGGAGTAAGTTCTTTGTCATCTTCGCAAGCTGATGCTGGGGATATTGTCACGGGTTTGGAAAGAATCACAGTGATTGCTCAGTAACCATCACCTATATCTGTTGTTCTCTTTCTGGCCAGGGGCATGGGGGCAGATAAAGGTGGATCAGAGTCCTCAAGTCCTGAACCTCCAGGAGGGAGTCAACGCCAGTCTGGAATGTAATTGGTCAAGTTCGGTGAATACTTTGCAGTGGTTCAAACAGAATCCTGGGGAAGGCCCTGTCTCCCTATTTGTCATTGCTTCAGGCGTGAAGCAGATAGGAAGATTCAACTCCAAGATGAACTTGAAGGATCGTCACAACTCACTGCACATCACTGACTCCCAGAGGGGAGACTCAGCCACCTACTTCTGTGCGGTGCAGGCACAGTGCTCCCCAGCCACCTGCAGGCTGTGCACAAACCGGGAGGCTCAGGCTCCAATCACGCTCCCTGCCAGGGGACACATAATTCAGTTCAATCCAACAAACTGAGCACCAACTATGTGGGAGGTTGTGTGACACCAAGGGAACATTTCATAGCTTTCTTTCCTCGTAAATACTGGTAGCTATCACATAGGAAAAGCTGACATTTACATGGCATTTTAAAGTTTACAAAGATCTTATCTGAGGGGCAGGTGGTATCAGTACTATTAGCCCCATTTTACAGATAAGGAAACTAAAGTTCAGAGAGTTGAGTGATGTACCTAGAGTCACACATCTACTAAACAGAAGAGTCAGGCTTTGAAACCAGATTTTCTAAATCCAATTACTAGTTCTGTTTCCATTGCACCAGGTTGTTTCTCCCACCAGAGTTCCAGTTTGGTACATTGTGATTTGGAACTAGGCTCTGTTTGCCATGCCTTTGTTGTAATAGAAGCATTCCCCCTCTACTTTCCTGGTAATCGATTTCAGAGATGCAAGAAACCTCAGTATGTGAAGTATTGGGAGGGGGATCTTAAATGAATGATTACCTATTCACTGCACCTGTATAGAAAGTATTCTTTAAAGAATTGTTCTCAAAGTGTGATCCAGGGATCCCTGGGGGTCCCTGAGACACTTTCAGGGGGTCTGCAAGGTCAAAACTGTTTTCATAATAATTCTAAACCATTTTAATTTCTAATACAATGAATATCAACCACACGTAACCCACATAAACAAAAGCTCTTTGGGGTATCCTCAATCATTTTTAACAGTATAAAGGGGTCCGGAGAACAAAAAGAATAGAGCAGAGAGTTAAAAATTAGATGAGAAATTCAGGCCACAGACAAAGAGTACCTATGTTGTTCATTGTTAACACAGTGACTCCAGCACATAGCACAGTGCCTAGGACATGTTAGGCATTTAATAAATTCTTATTGACTTGTCTTGTTTGTTTGTTTGTTTTGGAGGGGTTGCAGGGAGGGGCTGTAGGAGGTGTTGATTATTTGCTATTATACATTGCCTACACCATGAGAGCCCTTATCCTAACTCCTAATGAGCTTAGTTGTATAGGTGATAGTCACTAGTGTAGGAAATTGAGCTCTTGGGCTCAGAAAAATATATAGATAAAATACTTCACAGATCTCAGCTCAAAGCCATAAGATCATGCCCTTCGTTATATGTGGTGAATAATACATTCACGAGGTCAGCCATAGAGAGAGCCAGACTCTCTCCAGGCCTTTCTTTTTTTTTCCTTTCTTTACTTTTTGAACCAATTGACCCAATTTGAATTCAAATATAGCAAAGCATAGATTCAGGAGTACAGGCAATAGGAAACATACCTTGTCTCTCTATTAACTTTTACCTTAAAATTGCTGGAAAGCAAATATAGCACATGCTCTGGGGCTACTACCCCATCCTTCCCCTCACTAAGGAGCAAGTCCTTGGAGCATGACCACTATATGTGCCCTCAGAGTTCAGGGGGAGCCCTGAGCAGTTGAGGGTTATTGATTGCTTCAATGTTATAGCTAATGAGCTTTCATCAGTGTCCTTCCAACCGTTATTATCAATTGAAATCGATTAGTCATCCTGACTTAATTTGCATTTATAACAGGGTATTAATTAAAGTGGTATAGTAAAAATATTTGGTATAAAATGTCTCTCCAACAGTCTGTGACACTCTCCCATAAGTCCAGAGTCCAAGGGAATGTGGACTTTAGCACATGTGGCAAGATTTTCCCCTTAGGTATGGGGTAGACTTTCTCCTGAGCTTTCTGTAGAACCTGTATTCCTCAGCTCATTCAGTCTGCTTTTGCCTTCTAATGCAGACAGTCTCCAGCCAGGTCCAGAGATTATTCTAGTATAGATGGGAAAATGGAAAGTCCAAAACTCTCTAGTCCTCAGAAAGGCATAAGATCTTCCTAGGTCAAAAAGGGAGGGATGAGAAGACTGAGTCCAAGGCCAAGGCCAGAGCTCAGCATCCTTCCTCCTTCCCTGCCCCTAGTTGATTCCTTCTCAGGAATAGAGCTAGAATGCTTTCTTCTCTCTACTGACAGGCACTCAAATCTCTCCAGCCTGAATTGGCTCAATATTTTACAGAGGTCCCACAGTGTGAACCTAAATTTCCTTAGACAATCTGAGTAGACTTACTATCATACTTAGGAAGTCATCCAGGCCTTGTTCATACCAGTTTTCTTCAGTAAGGGTGAAGTATCCCCAGTCCATATCAGAGATAGGACTCTGAATGTGAGGGGAAATAATTTGGAAGACTATTTTTGTGCTGCTGTACCTCACAAACTGATCTGGAGGCTCAGGTACTTGCATGAAATAATTGGATTGTGTGAGACTTGATTTACAAATCCAGAGTAAAACACATTCTTGTGTCTAAAAGTGCCTGGGAGAAAAATCCACAGTATTTGTGTTTTGGGCCTTCAGTTCTTTGCTGAGGTCCTTGTCTGTCTATAATATTCTTTGTGGCTATCTCTAGGTTATATAAGTTTTGGGGAGTTGGGGTGGGAATGTATTCTGGGAAACATGATATAACCATCCACTTAGAGAGATTTGTTACTATAGGTAAGATGTTTGTGTGTTACCCATGTAGATTATTTGTGTCCCTATGGATTTGTCTGGATGTGGCTTACAAGGAGGGGTGGGTAGATATCTCTAGAGTGTTGTCTGCCCATCCTTCTGCAAGGGAGATTTGTATTCCTACAGAGAGGGGGTGGGGAGCAAAAGATTGAGGTCACAAGTTTGGCCACTCTGTTTTCCTCATAGAAGGAGTGCTAAGGAGGATTATATTCATTTGCTTTCTCAACCCCCCAATATCATTGGTCTAAGGAAAATCATTTTTAGGTTCAAACCACTGAACCATCCCTTAATATGGAAGTAGTGCCCCAAGCTACGGTGGGAGGCTTAACTCCCTTCCCACCAAATTCTAGTTATACAAAGATCATCACACACAGTAAATAGTGAAGAGAAAAAAAATTATTCAAGCTGATAGAAAAGAGAAATCAGAGAAATTATACAGATTAATGAATGAGATTTTCCAATGGAAATGAGATATCTCAGCTTAATCATAAGAGAAAGAGTGTGTCCCTGAACTGAGCCAAGGGAAAATTCCTTAAAGATTCTAGGAAGGCAAGCTGGGAACAAACATGCTTGAGGTAACAGATTCTCTACATGTCAACTTCTTCCCACAGTATTTTTCTCTCCAGGGGCCCTTCCCTAAAGAGAACCTAGAACGAGGTGTGTCCTCCTTCTAAGCTGAAAGCCAAAAGAAGTAAAATCTCTCTTCAGGCAACCTCCCAGCAACTCCCTTAAGCATGGAACATGGAATGTAATTTGTTCTCTCCACCAATGAAAAGAGTATTATGCAAATGTAAGGCTTGAGCCTTGGGTTACATAAATGGTAAGGAGAATAGCAGAGACTGAAGACAAGACTCTCAGCTCTAAAACAATCTCTCCCTAGTTTCACTCCAAAGGTGGAAGAGTAGCATAATGGAGATGCTCATTCCTATTTAATGAAGCCATACTGAAAAGAGCAGTAATTAAGGGGAGGTTTAGTGAAGCTATTGTGCCTACCTGGAATGGCCTCCTTCCTACTTTTCTTCTGCCATGCAAAGCTTGCCTATTTTTCAAGCCACAGTTCATCCCCATACAAGGCTAGAGTGCTCAGCCTGGAGTCAGGAAAATCTGATTTCAAATCCTGGGCAAGTCACTTAGCCTCCATAGTTTCCTCATCTATAAATTGGGGATAATAATAGTTCTTACCTCCTAGGATTGTTATAAGTATCAAATGGGATTTAGCATCTCATTATAAAGCATATGCAGCATAAAATATAAAGCACTTAGCCCACTGTCTGGCACATAGTAAGCTCTATAAATGTTGGCTATCATCATCATCATCATCATCATTATTATATTATTATTATTGTTATTGTTATTATTATTATTATTAATTTCCCTGACTATTTCAATTCTCTTATCTTACCCTGTCTCTGAGCTCCTATAGAACTTAGAGTTTATACTATTCAATTTTTCTAAAAGACACTTACAACACAGGAAAGACAACCTTTGGGGAGAAGAGGTAGTATGAACTAGGCAAGGCTAATCACCACCATTGCCCCAACTGCCACTTGCCCTCAGACCCCAGTGGAGGTAGTCCAAGACTCTATACCTAAGAACTTTGGTAACAACAATGCCCCCCACCACATACCCTCTGAATCCCTACTCTAGCAACATCACTGAGAAGTGAAATCTCTGTAGAAAAGGGGTCCACTTTCTTCACCAACACCAACTGCTGATCAATTGCCACTAAAGACACGGAAGGCCAAGGGCCCTGGTAGTGAGTAGCAATACCCCTGTGGAGATGTGATCTAGCAACTGCTTCTGGTGGTGCTGTAGCCTCATTTCCTTAACAGCCACTGACATCAACAATATGGGGGGAGAAACATTCACTTCCACCAAAGAATTTGACATCATCAAACATTTCAACATCAAACTCTTCATGATTTTATCATCATCAATGACATTAATAAAGATGAATCATCTGTTTTGCTGTTCTACCCTAAGGACCATGGAATCTTTTCATCTGACTTACAGCTGACCCTTCTCATATGTATTGTCTATTCTACTAGAATGTGAACTTCTGGAGTGCAGCAATTGTCTTGCTTTTCTATTTATATTCCCAGTACTTTGCATATAGTAAGCACTTAATAAATTTTTTATTCATATCATTTCTAAAAATCTGGTACTATGATTTCTTTGGTGTAGGGAAATCTTAGCTAGGAAACTCCTTTGGCTAATATAAATTGTTATTGTTTGTCCTTCATTCTCAAAGAGGACTACAACATCAGGAAGGTGATACCATGACTTGTAGGTGAATTAGATTTAAGTGAGGCAGGGCTGTGCAAAGTCACCAGCCTCACTCTCTCCTCTGAAACCATCTGGGTCCAATGGCAAGATATAGATCAGGAGGACTGGAGATAGCCCTGGATGCAGTGGGAGACATTGGCCTTTTTTAGCTATGATCTTTCCCAGGTCTCAGTTTGTCTGAGGCAATACCCATTCAGTGATTAAGTCTAGGTAAGAAATGATATCAGAAATTAACTGTTCTACAAGTTACAGGTTTAAATACTGTGCTTAAGGTACTGAAAAGCTATGTGACTGGATCAGGGTTTTACAATTGTGCCTTGAGTCATGGGTCCTCCTGACTCAGGGCAGTTCTGTATCTATAAAACCATGCTGCTTCTCAATGTAGAGTCCTTAATAGTGCCTAGTATTGTACAGTATTGAATATATCTTCTCTCTCCAAGTAGACTGTGTGTCCTATGAGGACAGGAGCCATAACTTGCATTTCTCTAGTGTTTACCATATCTTCTGTCGCAATGGTTGGTCCTCAGTAGCAATAAATTGCATTTATATAGTGTTTTAAGGTTTTCAAAGTACTTTACAAATATTATCTCATTTTATGCTCACAATTTTGTGAGGTTGGTGTTATTCTTATCCTCATTTTACAGATGAGGAATCTGCGACAATGAGCTTGTCTAGGGTCACACAAATCTCAGTGTTTCCTCGATGATAGATGTGAGAAGTTGAGAGAAGGCTGAGTAAAGCCTATAGCTTTTAGAGACACTCTGATGCTTACCTGGAAGGGAGGTGGGCACCACTTTTATGTTGACTGAACTTATAAACTAATTAAGATCATAGTATCATAGATTTAGAGCTGGAAGGAAACTTAGAGATCATTCCATAAAACCCCCTCACTCTAAAGATGAAAAAACTAAATGGCTTGTCCACATTCTTGTAGGTAATAAGCATCAAGGGCAGGATTTTAACCTGAAGGCAAATAAATGAATGCATGAAGAGCCAAGCCAAAAGAGTAAAGGGGCTAAGAGAAGAGTGATTAGCAGCAATTGGAGTGGGAATAGAGTGAAAGTGCACAAAGAAAAGCAGCAATATGACAGGATTGAGTTAGGACCTCCAAAACTTAGCCTAAGCCCAGAAGTGTGTGAGTGGTTGACAACTCCCTCTCCCTAAAGCAACTTTGATTTGAATGAGATTTGAATTGAACACCAGAACTGGATTATTTTGATCCTGGGGTCTAGCTTGCCTACCAAAAAGCATAAGCTGGGGGGCTGGTTTGAGAAGGATCTTATGGCCTAGGAGAAGATATCTCTATTGGAGGCTTTCATTAGAGAGAGAGAGAGACAGAGAGAGAGAGAGAGAGAGAGAGAGAGAGAGAGAAGAGAGAGAGAGAGAGAGAGAAGTATATTTATTATTATTATTAATTTCTCATATTAGAATTAAAAGGCTATATTCAGTTATACCTTTGTAAATTATTTCAAATGGAATGTATATGGAAGAGTATGAGGAGAAGAGTTTCCTAAAGTAGAATGGGGGCTGAGCCTTAAATATTAAGTGATAAATCCACACCAATTCCCTAGACTACAAAAAGGATTCTGAGACATATATGAGGAGCAAAGACAAAGGGATAAGTCATAACAGTGACCACCAAACCTGAGAAAGGCCCCAGAAGCTATGACTATGAATCCCTAGAGTGATCTCCCAGGGTTAGGTGGCACAGGGGGTGAGAGCTTATTTATTTAATTACTTAATGGCACTTATCTAGCTCTTTCATACTAAATGAGATCAAGGCGTGCATGTGTGTGATATGTTTTAATATTACTCTTAGCCAGGGAGGAATGAGGGTTTTCATCCCAGTCCTATCACTAGACTCTATTCTCCCAAGGTTTAAGAAACAATCTCTCCATTCCTGGAGTCCCTAGGCCTACTCTCAGATATCAATTCATTCTAATCCATCCCACCAACCTATCCCTCTTTCTCCTGTGGAGTCTAAAATAAAGGAAGTTCTTGAGAGATTCCACTGAGAATTTAATAAGGTATTTAAATTTATCTAAAGTGCACATTGCTTTAAATATGCCTTGTTCTGGCAGAGATATGAATCCATTCAGAAATAATTCTTCAGGAATTCTGTTGCTATACCAATCTCATCCAAAATAGGATGACAAAGGCAGAGCTATTAACAAAGGAATCACATGAAAAGTGCACATCTATAAACTTTTCTATTATGTTTAAATAGAACAACATCTAGAAAAGCAGGAAGTGGGTCAACATTCCTATTGTAAGGTAGAAGATTTCTTCTTTGTTCTGGTTGGTTTCAAAAGAGATTACCAGTGCCATTTATTATTACTGAACACCAACCATTGTGAGAGATGATATGGTAAATAATAGAGAAATGTAAATTATGGCCCCTCTCCTCATAGGGCACACAATCTACTTGGAGAGAGACGATATATACAAGAGTGTAGAGGCACTGCAAAGGACATTATGGTGAGAAGCAGTATAGCTTTATGGATACAGTCATAGCTTCTGGGACCTCTCTCAGGTTTAGTGGTCATTGTTATGACTTATCCCTTTGTCTTCGCCCTTCACATATGACCCAGAATCATTTTTGTAGTCAAGGGGATTGATGTGATTTTATCCCTTAATATTTAAGGCTCAGCTCCCATACTACTTTAAGGAACTCCTCACTTCATACCCTCCCATATGCATTTCATTTAAGATAATTTGCAAAGGTATAACTGAATACAACCTTATAATTCTAATATGAGAAATTAATAATAATAAATATACACATCTATCTATATGTATCTACACTGAGATTTTCCACTGTACTATGCAGATTAATCAAGGTGATTAGAATCTCTTTCTGTCTCAGCCCTATGAAGGGGAAGGAAAAAAAAATAGCCACATCTTCAATTATACTGTTTGCTTCTATCTACCCAGGTAGTTTTCATCTTATTTAGTATCTGAATGAGGTCTCACCTGCAGCCACCCAACCACTTTCCCCAATCCTAGTTTAAAGTTTGTTTTTCTATTTCAATGTTGTTTTAAAAATAGTTCATCTGTGATTTTTCAAATGTGGTTAACTATTGTATTGTTTATCTACATATTTTATTACTCAGACGTAGATGAGAGAGAGGAGCTAAAAGTGATAAGGCACACAGGAGAGAGGAGTAGATTTCAAACATATATATATATATATATACACACACACACACACACATATATATATATATACATATATACATACATATATATACACATACATATATATTCATATGTAAACTAAAGAGAGAGATTCACTTTAGTTGGGGGCTCAAGATAAATAAAATAAAATTATTAATAATATTGATTCATATTTTTATAGCTTCCCCAAAGTAAAGAAAGAACTAGGGTTATCTGAACCCTTAGCTACATGCACAGTAAGTGAGCCATTCCAGTCAAGAAAGGCTTGCAATTGAGCTGGAGTTACACTTTGTGAGGTAGTTGCCATAGGCATCTCATCTTTTTATTGTTTTCTGGTGGCTGGTTTGAAAATTGACCAGTGGGGGTCCTCCAAGATGGAGTAAGAAGTCATGTTCACCAGCCAAGCACCTTTTAACCGTCACTCACTGCTACACAAGAAAAATGTAAGACATAATCCCTGCTTTCAAAGAGCTACAGCTCAGGTTAGAGCAACAATATTGATATTTCCCTTCTTATTACCATGAAAACAGCCTGCCACTCTAATTACAATGCAAGTGAACTTAAGCTTTTGATGTTATGAGCTGAAACAAATATAATATTTACCTTTTAAAGTGATTCGTTTTCCTTCCTTGTTGAATATTTTGAATTTAAATAGTACAGCAGAAAAGAGTACTGAATTTGGAATCAAAAGATTTTATTTTTGGATTTGAGTCATAACCCTGTTACTTACTGTCAGAGCAAGTAATAAGTTCTGTGGTCCTCAGAGTCCTAATCTCTAACACAAAGGGCAAGTAGGTGTGGGGTCTAGAATCAGGAAAACTCATCTTCATGAGTTCAAATTTGGCCTCACACATTTATTTGCTTTGTGACCCTGGGCAAGTCAGTTAACCCTGTTTGCTTCAGTTTCCTCATCTGTAAAATTATCTGGAGAGGGAAATGGCAAGCTACTCCAGTATCTTTCCCAAGAAAACCCCAAATGGGGTCATGAAGAGTCAGACACAACTGAAAGCAACTGAACAACAATAACAAAACAAAGTAGCTGAACTGAATGATCTCTTACATCACTTTTAGTTCTACAGGAAATCCCATGATCCTCTGAATTCTCTAAGACCACAAAACCATAGCATTATAGAATGTTAGAACTGGAAGGTACCATAGAATGCAACCTTTTCATTTGACAGATGAGGCTTTCTATGAGGATATGGGCAATATTTTGTCCAGTACCCCTATTGACTAACACATAGTAAGTACTCAATAAATGTTGAAGATTATGTCATATAACAAATGTTTTTTGAATGAAAGTGATGTGTACATTTTATAGTGCTAGGCACATAGTAAGTGTACAGTAAACATTTGATTAACTCATTGATCAGTTGAAGGGAGAGATGAGCATGTGATAAAATAGCTTCATGGAAGATCCAGGATTTGAACTGGGCCTTGAAGGATGGATAGGATTTGAATAGGTGGAGAGAAGTGGGAAGGATTTTTGATACCTTAAAACTCTTCTTCTGATTATTTAGAACAATTTAATTTACATATAACTTTTCAGTAATACATTTCTCCTATTTAAAAAAAAATCTGCTAGTATTAAAATAAATTTACTTTATATTCTAGTGAACATGTCTTCAGGGATTTGCCATATGACCTCAGGAGGGCAGTGTGTTCACTTATAAAATCATCTACTGGGAAAACCCTTGGCAAGTGGGAGGACTGAATGTGTGAGCTTATGAGGTGACAAACTCCGATTGGTTGAGTAGGAAGTCTGAGAATTCTATTTTCTTGAGAAGAAAAAAAAAGGAAGGCAGACAAACTGATGTTGTAACAGACTAAAGTATTTTAGGGTGTACAAACAGGAATCATAAAATTATAGATCTAGAACTGAGAGGGACCATAGAGATCTTCTCCAACCCCTCCATTTTACAGATTTGGAATCTGAGGCCCATAGAGGTTAACTAACATACCCAAGGTCACAGTAGCAAGAATTACAGAACCAGAATTTCAACTCAGATACTGTGACTCTAAATCCAGTGCATCAAGTTCAGCACTCTTCCACTTGCCCATATTGGAAGAATGAAGAAAGCTCCAAGATCCACACTAGCGATCCTGTGGCTTTGGCTGATCTGTGAGTCATGTGGAAAGAAAGAGAGAGGCCCAGGGTGGTTCTGGAGTTGTTGTTGCTGTTGTTGTTTTGCTTGTTTGCCTTTCATTTTTTGTTTTTGTTTTTCTACAAAGAACAGGAAATTCATCTAGGAGATATTCTCCACAATAGGAATGGGAGTAGGGGAGGGGAGTAGCTTAGACTGGTTCATTTGAGGTTCCCTTTGGGGAGGTTATATTAAGGATAAAATGGCAACATCTTACATCTAACATTATCTTTCTGAACAGGGGTGAATGTCAAAGGGAACGTGGACCAGAGCCCTCCAACTTTGACCATCCAAGAAGGAAAGAGCTGTACACTCCATTGTAATTATTCAAGCCAAAGTCTGGACAGAGTATACTGGTACAGACAGGAGGTGGGGAAAAGCCTGAAGTTTATATTTGCTTTGTATTCCAATGGAGCTGTGAAGCAGGAGGAAAGGTTAACAGCCACATTCAACACAAGCACCCTTCACAGCTCTCTGAGTATCAGGGGCTCCCAGCCAGAGGACTCAGGAACCTACCTCTGTGCTGCAAGCACACAGTGTCCTCTAGTCACCTGCAGTCTGTGCACAAACCAAGCAGCTAGGGTTCCAACTATACTTCCAGACACTCTTACATCTCTGTGACCTATTGCTAAAAAGTGAAATTTGTAATGCTTGTTTTGTAAACAGGCCTTTGCTATTGGTACTCTGTTATAAGGAATATAGAGGCAGGAATTCAGGTATAGTGATGATGATACTTTGTCTGGGACCATTACGTCTAATGATCTCCAGTATTTTCTGGTCATGGGATTTAGAGTTAGACGGAATCTTAGAAGTTATCTAATAGGCTCATAGAATCATAGATTTAAGGCTTGAAAGGGCCTCAAAGGCCATTTAATCTAACAACCTCATTTCACAGATGATGCAACTGAGACCCAGAGAGGTTAAGTGACTTGTCCCACAGTGCAGGTGGTTTATGTCCTAACTCATAATAAGTTTAAAGCTGAAAGGGATCTTAGAGATCATCTAATCCACCCCTTTGATATTGCTGATGAGGATATTGAAGGCTAGAAAGATTATGTTACTTGCCCAAGGCCCCACAGAAGTGATAAGGGACAAAAACTGGAATTTGAACACAGGTCCTCTGACCTCAAATGCAGTGCTCTTTTTATTACAGCACACTGATAGGATTTGAACCCGGGCCTTTTGATTCTAAATCCCTTGCTGTCCACTAGACCAAGGGTGTCAAACTCAAATGAAAATAGGGGCCACTTAACCACAGGTAATGATCCCTGTGGGCTGGTATTGAGTTAGAAAACCACATATTAGCATTATGTTCTATTGTGTTTTTGTTTTTCTTGCTAAATATTTCTCATTTGCATTTTAATTTGGGTCAGCCACATTCAGGAGTGCTGCGGGCTGAGTGTTCTATACTTCTGAACTAGACAATACTGCTTTACATGTAATTTCACAGAGAATGACCTGACATTTAGAAAAAGCATCGCCTGTGATCTTGTGAGATTTAAAACCATTCACTACTTTAAGCGTTGTTTTCTATCTCTATTAGATGGGTGCAGTAATTAATTCCTGTTGGGGAAGTTGTTATTTAGTTGTTTTGGTCATGTCCGACTCTTTGTGATCCTATTTAGGGTCTTTTTGGCAAAGATACTAGAGTGGTTTGCCATTTCCTTCTCCAGCTTAGAGGAGGAACTGAGGTGAATAGGGTTAAGTGACTGGCCCAGAGTCATACAACTACTAAGTGCCTGAGGCCAGATTTATCTCAGGAAGATGAGTCTTCCTGACTTCAGGCCCCACACCCACACTGTACCACCTCGGGGGCCCAGTGGGGAAATTAGATATTTTTAAACATTAAGAAAGGTGGTTTTTAATTGTTCTGATACATGTACTTAGTACAAATACAAAGTACTGGGAAGAAATTCTGTTACTTTAGGTGACATATGGAGTAATTACTCCAAGAAATATATTGTCAATAACAATCTATCTGGCTAATTGTTGTGCTAATAGAATCCTCTTTTTTTTTATTCTTTCTTACCTCACATTTATATAGTATTTCACACCTCACAGAAACCCTGAAAGATAGAGTGCTGGGCTTGGAATTGGGAAGAACTGAATCAAATTTCACTTCAGAAACTTACTAGTTGTGTGATTCCCAGAAAGTCAATTAAAACCTTTCAGCCTCAATTTCCTCATCTGTAAAATGGAGTCCCTACCTCACAGGGTTGTTGCAAAAATCTGACGACGGAACATAGATACAATACTCTTCAAAACTTAGAGCACTATGTAAATGCTGGCTATTATCATGTTCTTGTGGCACAATAGACAGACAACGAACTCTAGAATCAAAGGCCATCAATTCAAATGTCGGTTCTATTTGCTTCCAGTGTAATTTTGGCTAAGTTATTTAATCTCTCTAGGCCTCAGTTCCTCCATCTGTAAAATGGGGGATTACATTACACGGTCTCTGTGATCCCTTCCAAATCTAGATCTACACATATCCCTATGACTTAGTCCAACTCTCACAGATTTTTAACAGATGATCCAGAGAGAAGTGCTTGCCTAAAGTAACACAAGGAATAAATAATAGACCTAAAACTTGAATCCAAGTCTTTTGACTGTTAGCCTCATATTCTTTCCACGCGAATACATAATTATTTTGTCAGGAAAAGTAGTTGTCTAGGCTTTATTTTACCCTTGGTCTGAAAGGTTTGGACAGTTCTTATTTTTTCATGACAGCTCTTTTTTTATGCTTCATTTAAAACTGCAGCCAGAGGCTTGTTCCTTGATGGGAAGGGATGAGGGCAGGAAAAAATGTCATATAAATATGCAGAAGTGTGACATGATCGGCTGACAACCTGTCGCTTTATCTTCTTTTCTTGGGCAAGAGAGCCTACCACTGGGCCCCATTCACGACGAATGGGGCTCTGTCCGACATGCTGAGCAGAGTTACGCCTCTGGGTTCATGACAGTACAGGAGACATTTCACCCAGCAGAAGAGCAATCAGAATGTTGTTTATCAGCCTGGTATAGGCTGTCATAGCCCTCCATCCGCTTCAGTAGCAACACCCCTAATGTGGGGACTGAGTCACCTCTTTTGACCCAGAGAGCTAAAGAGATATACAACTGACTGGGTGTGTCAAGGTCTTTGGGTTAGTTAGTCAGAGAATAAATATCTGATAGCCATTGCCTGTGTCCAAATACTGTGAGCCACCTTAGGGGACCAGTCATATCTCCCCTTAGAATTTTTAGGACCTCAAATGGTTTGCTATAATACAGACCCAAGCAACAAAATATCCAAGCAGAAGGGAAAGGCATTGACCTTAGAAGCAACTGTTTCATCAGTGTATTTATAATTATTATTTGATTTGCTACAAAGTCTTCCAAGAGAAATATTTCTCTTGTTTCTTATTTCTCTTGTTTAGATAACCAGCAGAATATAAATTAGCATCAATATTCTGTGACCTTCCAGAAATCACCTACTTGCACTATTTCTATTGGCCTCACCATCTTGGCCAGCTGGTTCCAACCTATATACCCAGACTTATTTCATGTTATTCCTCATCATACATCTACATGACAGCCTAACTGGCCTGCTTAACACTGTCCTTCATTGTTGTCCTCTATTTAGAGTGGCCCATCTTCCACCTTCATGTCTTTGTGCAGGTTGTCCACCGTGCCTAAAACAGTCTCACTCCTCACCTCTGCCTCTTAGAATTTCTAGCCCCCTTCAATGTTTAGCTCAAGTGTCACCCCTACACTGGCCTAACCTTGATCTCCCTTCCCTCCAGTTAGTAGCCTTCTCCCCTTCTTTGAAATTCTTGTGTGTATTGGGGATTGGATGGGAGTACTTTCTATGCAGCCGGGCTTAGTTTTGACTCGTCATGGCAGTGTTCTGGCCCAATATTAAGAGATATGTAAGGATGAATTAAGAACTTCTGATTCAATATTATCAACTGGTTTTCTCCTATTCTTCATGTGATACAGGGGTGACTTCCACTGAGGTAAAGCCCTTTTCCCTTCTTATCCCTTACTGAGCTCTCATCTCTATGCACCTTAGCTCTACCCCTCCACAGTCCATATTCTCTTCTGATCTCTGGAACCACTACAGCATTTTAACAAACAGCCATTCTG